ATCTGTTTGTTCTAAAATCATTAATATAAATTAATTTTTATGTGAGCAGTCCTCATAACTTGAGTGTTAAATGAAACTCCTTGTATTCTTTTTAAACAAGCTCTTGAAAATCAGGAGACTGTTATAAAATTTATATACTCAAACATTAAGCTGAAATAAATTACTTTGACTGAAATTTTGTCTAGTGTTTGTAGTTTTATTCATTTATAAAGTCAGGAAAATAAACTTTATAACTGCAGTCCTCCTGCAATCATCAAATATGTATTTTCAATTGAGGAAAATAAACAATCATATACAATAAAAATGATTTTTATTTCAAATCATAAACATTCAAATTTTAATTAGACATTTTTATTATAGATAACAACTCCTTTTGCAATTCTATACTCTCTCTCTCTAGTTGCAGTCCTTCCTCTGCAATTTTTATAGATTTCCTTTCCAATTCCTCAGAAATGGCATTGCTCCTTTTAATTTCACTTAATAATTCATTTATTTGCCGTTCCAGTGGCCGTTTCTTTTTCTTTGATGACCTTGTCACCCTTATTTCGGGTTCAAGTCGTTCTGGTACTGGTACATCTATCAATTCATTCGAATTTTCATCGTTCTCTAAAAGATACAAGCACAATTATTTAAAAATATACACTTATTTTATTTAAATACTCACAATAAAAGATGTAAATCATATAAAAACATTAATTTATTAGAGTAAATGATGATTACCTGTTTAGTAACAACCACAAGAAAAATCACCAGAACTTAAATGCTTAATTAAACAAAAATATATGTAAAATGGAGTTTGTGAACATGCTTAAATATTTTACAATGTCTATCCAGACAAATGTATTCTGACAACTTGAATTTAACCGGCATTCTATAGTTCTTGCAGTTATAGATGCCAAATGGTAATAAAGGCACAGATGTACAATTTTAATAATAAATTCCAGAATGTTGTGTTATATTTAAAAGTGACCAAGTATTATGAGAACTTGAGTTATTATAACAAATATTTTTGATGGTTAAGTAATAGATCTTGATATAGACAAATAGGATACATCTAATGATAGTTTACCTGTATCCAATTCGAGTGATGGTAACACATTGCTACAACTCTCTTCGATTAATGCTATATTCTGGGCTGGCTGATGTCCTATAATGCTATTAACTGCCTGGAAATATTGCCAGGTAGATGGGCTGCCTCCCGAATGCCCAATCTTCGTTACTTCTTCTCTAGTTAAAATAAAAAGAAAATTTCAATGTTTCAAATAGGAAGAATTATTTTTTTTAAATTTAATAATAGTTATTAATTTGATGTTTTCATCATTTACGATTATCGTACGAGTAACAAGAAATATAATTTTCGTCATTTACTATCAACGTTCGAAATATAATTGTTTAAAGAATTCTTTATTTAAATATTAAACGATAATTAATTTAACGATCACGTATTTCCACAATTTTAACTTACCTGTATTTGGCAGTTAAATTTTTAATTTTCGTCCTTACTTCCGACCACGTTCTAGCTCTGGAGGTTGGCCTCCGAAGACGAATTTCTGCCGCCATTGCCTCATATACACTTTTATTTCGTTTCGCTCGACGTAAATCATCTATCTTTTCCCGCCATATTTCAATTAAAACTGAAATCTTCTCCTCCGACCAATTTTCTGAACGTTTTTTCTCACCCTCAAATGTTTTTCCATCTGCTTCCGCCATTATTTTTGAACTTGTGGCGGACCTCGTGGAAAGCTTGAAGCGACTTAAGCTTCTTTGAGAAAGAGATTTAAGCTGAGCCAGTTGTTGGTAGTTAAACCGGTTTAACGTTAAGTCAGTTCCGTTCATATTCCATTCCTTAAGCTGGCTTAGTCATTTAAGCTGGCTTAAAATATACAGTGTGAATAGGGTATTATGGGCGCAGAGAAAGTCCAAGTTTGGAGGCCATGATTGTCCATGAGAGATGCAGTAGTTTTTTAGTTCACTTCTGGCCGTCTCGTAGAATGGACAGTGAAATAAAATGTGAAAGGTGTCTCCTTCAGTGGTGTTGTCGCATGTGCAGGTCGAGTCGCTTCGTCTTCCGATCCTGTAGAGGTAGGACGGGATGTTGCCATGTCCGGTTAGGCATTGAGACAGGGAAAACGACGGAGTGATATAGTGATATTTCTGTCTTTTGTGTATTGATGNCAAAAAGTAATTTTCTAAGTATTGCTTTATTTTATTGGTAATTTTTTTATTCTGTTCTATTTTTAACACGTGCAGAGAAGTGACCGATTACGTGGTCAACACGTGTTTACTCTCTTTCGATTGTGATCGACCAATAAAAATCTCTAGCGGAATGATACCGACAAACTGTTGGTTTATAGCAGGTTCCAAGTTAGAATATAGATATAATGGTTTGAATCCACTCAATATGACGCTATCAAAGTGCAAATTCCGAACTGATTGGTTGAAACAAAAGGACAAGGCAGATTGTACAGTAGGATTATGGGCAACTGTACGTTCAGACACTGATGTATTTTGCAAAGTATGTAATTGCATAATACAAGTAAAAAAAGGTTTCCAAGCACTTTTTGATCATGGAGGTACTTTTACTTTTACTTTTGCTAAAGATAAGAAGGCTGTCTTTCGACTTAGCCTGAATACGAGAAGGAAGGAAGAAGGGGTGTAGAGGGTGGGGTATAAGAGGTTTAGAAAAGTTGGAAGGAAGAGAGGTTAGATGGAGTATCCCACGAGTGCCTTGCATCGTACTTGTAAGTAGAGAACAATTATAGTACATATACAATATAGGGTGGTCGCTGTTGACCAGTGCTTGTTGCACTTTACAAGGAAGTAAAGATTAATACAAAATACAGCGATTATGTACACAGTGCACGCTGCCACGGAGGTGGAACAGCAAACAACAGAAGGGTTAGTTACAATTAAAATAGGGGGGGTGATAACAATATTTGCTCTTGGAAGCTCGAGTAGGGAAACATGCAGGAATCCTGGAATATTACGTTATACAGTAGAAAGAGTATTGCAGAGAGCGATAAACAATCTGTTGATGAGTACCATAGAATGGCAAATTGCCCTAGACAATAAACCGTGAGAAAGTGGCTACATAGCCAGAGCGGTTCACACGTTACCATGCCTGCTGGCAGGCAGGGAGGGGTGCGTATAAGCACTTTACAATAACTGGGAGATACAGCAAAAAGGGGAATTACAAAAAGGGGGGATAAAGCCCCGATGAGTTAAAGATTACATAGAGTAACACTGGAATGAGAATATTTACATAAAGTACACTGAAGGCAGTGGTCGAGGTAGCTGCAGATGGTAGCGGCTAGCTTGAGGAGTCCACTTGGTCGATACCCGTAGGAAAGTCAATGCGGAAAGCAGTGCAAGAGTTCACAAAGTTTGTTAGCTGGGTAAAGCTTTCCTTATGGGCGCAGAGGAAGTCCAAGTTTGGAGGCCACGATTGTCCATGAGAGATGCAGTAGTTTTTTAGTTCACTTCTGGCCGTCTCGTAGAATGGACAGTCAAATAAAATGTGAAAGGTGTCTCCTTCAGTGGTGTTGTCGCATGTGCAGGTCGAGTCGCTTCGTCTTCCGATTCTGTAGAGGTAGGACGGGATGTTGCCATGTCCGGTTAGGCATTGAGACAGGGAAAACGACGGAGTGATATAGTGATAATTCTGTCTTTTGTGTATTGATGGCAGGAAGCTGAACGTCGTGCGGCCAGTTGCTGAGTTGTTCCATTCGTTCTCCCAAAGGTCTATGCTGCGGTCATATATCTGGTTTTTGATGTAGGTGATAGGAAGAAGACCGAAGCATGGTTTTATGAGTAGTTTCGCTGCCTGTTTGGCCAATTCGTCGGCCCTTTCGTTACCCGGAATATTCGTGTGGCTGGGAACCCAGCCAAAAGAAATATTCCTGTAGCGGTTAAGATTATTTGTGAGATGGTTTAGTCATACGTCACAACTGGATCACGTGCCCCTTATACAGGGATACGCAGATGATACCGTGCTTCTCATGTCTCACTACGACCACAAGGTATTACAGGAAAGGGTCAACAACACTCTAAATGAAATCTATAATTGGAGTAATAGGTCAAAACTTAAAATCAATCACTCCAAGTGCAATGTGGTTGTTTTCTCAAAGGGGAAGATTTTAAAGAAAGGGCCGAGCATTAAAATAAATGGCATTAAAATCAAGAACTTGCCTTCGGTAAAGTACCTGGGTGTTATGATTGATCAAAGGCTAAACTGGACGGAACATGTCCATTACATCTATGAGAAGGCCACCAAGATCACGCACGCACTAAAGTCTATTTGCAGAAACAGGTGGGGCTATGGCCCAATCACTAGTAGGATCCTCTACACCACTGCCATCGAGCCAATCATTCTGTACGGGGCCGAAGTATGGGGTTCTTCTGCAATCAAGGTTCACGTAAAAAGAAAGCTGCTTTCAATCCAAAGGCTTTCAGTCATCTCCACGACAAAAGCTTACAAGACGGCACTTACAGAGGCCCTTCTTGTGCTAAGTAATCTGTTGCCCATCGACCTCAAGATCAGAGAGAGGTACATCAACTTCAACCTTAGCAAGCTGGCAAGCAACAAGATCACCATTGATCAGTTTTATGAAATCATAGCCAGAGACACTCTTACAGAAGACATCAAGACCATCGCCAACCTCGTTACAACCAATGGGATTGATAAGACCAACAATTATCAAGCCATCCACCCTAGCTTCTCTATTATGATAGACACAGATTCCTCCTTTGACAACAAGCAACTCATAAACATTTTCACTGATGGCTCCAAAGCAAACGACGCAGTCGGTTGTGCTTTTGTAGCCTACAAGAAACAGCAGTGCCTCCATCAAATGCGTCGTAGACTGCATACCAGCTGCACTAATAACCAGGCGGAGTCTCTGGCCATCCTTTTCGCTCTGAACTGGATCCAGCGTAACTCCCATCAACTGCAAATCGATAACTACCAGATTCACAGCGACAGCAAAATTGCTCTTCAGCAAATTGCCAAAGAAAATAACACGCTTCCAATTGTCAAAGATAGTATTCAGACAATTATGGACTTAAAGGATAACGGAATTAACGTTTCCTTCCATTGGGTTAAGGGACACTCTGGTATTCCGGGCAATGAGAGAGCTGACCTCCTTGCCCGGTCTGCCCCTAACCCTTTCAGTAGCATCTTGTACAACAAGCTTAGCACCACCTACATTAGGAACATGATGCACGATGTAATCAAGAACTCGTGGCAACACAGGTGGGACAATAGCGACACGGGAAGGCTTACGCATAGCTTCCTACTGAAGATCCCCGACAAGCGCACGAAGCCCCATTACAGCATGTCCTTCCAACTTACTCAGCTGGTTACTGGCCACGGAAACCTGAGGACATACCTCAAAAGGTTCCTTGGCAAAACAGACAGACTATGTGTCCTCAATGAGGAAGAAGACCCAGGCCATCTTATTTACCACTGCCCGCTCTATACTAACCAGCGGAAAACTCTTAAGGACATTGTGATAAACAGTGGGGAACATTGGCCATGCACCCTCAGTTCATTTGGCAACAACAAAAGCAGTTTTATTGCTCTCAGGAACTTTGCGAAAGACATTAAAATCCTGGACTAGTTATAACCAATCTCCCAGGACTAGGTGATCTGGAAATTTCCTGTGGTTCCTCTACACGACCAGTGTGTGTCTTCGGCAGCCACCAGGGGAAGCATATGGACTTCCTGTGCCCTGGCTTCTGCCCTCAAGTAGCTTGTATGTATACTGTTCATCTATACATCTGTTTTGTGCTGTACACTTGCTTTCTTAATTTTAATCTTAGGTTAATTACTGTGTTCTTTTTTTCTCTTGCGATGTATAAACAGTACTCGACACGCAGATTTAATTGTACACAAGTTATTTTCTTTAAGTTTTCTGTTTATTTATGTAATCACTGTACCACTGTTGTGTTCCAAACTATGTCGCGACGATTATTATCTATGTATAACTATTGTAATCACTGTCATTCCATTATGTAATGTTGTTTTCCTATCAATTAAAGGCGATGCAGGATGCCCATGGCTCCCATGGGCTATGGTCACTTCCTTCCTACTATCCTATCTCCCTATATTTCATTCTTATTCTAACTCCTTCATCATCTTTATCCCTTCCTCCCTATTTTCATTTATGGCTATACCTATGAGTTCGGCCTGTACCTTCCTATGTATGTATGTATCTTTTCGCGCTCTAACCAATAAAAGACTCAGGACAAATGTCTTACCGGTACCGCCAGGAGCATCTAAGAAAAATGTTTGACCAGAAAAATGTTTGCCTTTTTCGATGCTTTCTAAAATTTGGCTATAAATGTGAGACTGTTCATCGTTTAACAAATTTTCATTAGTAGTTACAATCTGTGCTAAAATATTTGAGTCATAGCTCATCGCTCGGAGATAGTCTGTATTTTGTAACACTTCATTACATCTTGATGGCTGAGGTAAACCATACTGTTGTAAGCATTGGCCTCCTAAAGACAGCACCGTATCTACAAGACACACCAAGCATTTATTGTATACTTCATTTAAAATTAGACGAACATCTCTATGTTGTAACTCTAACTCGACTTGGTGTCGTATATCTTCCGAAAGGGTATCTTTATATTTCTTTCAAAGATTTGAAGCATCTGACAATTGACAAAACATCAACATTACTGCAAAAAGTTAGCGTAATCTAAACGGAGATTCACATAGCGCAGCTTCTAACATAGTTGCATCCCAGTGCCTTTCGTCTTCTAGCAAGCCTAGAACCTTACATGCAGACTGGTATGTGGGTTGAATCGTACCATTAACCGTTTTCAATTCTATGAAAGATGTAGGGTTTCGGATTTCGTGTAGTAAAAGGCGAAGATAATAACACTCAGTATTATTAGGGTGGATGATATATTCCCTGCCTAAAGTCTGATTTTTTTTTACTCCTGGCCAGCCATTGACGTCATTACCACGTTTTCTTCTCTCAAATCTGTTGTTTTTCCATACATAGAAAGAGGGAACTTCAACATAAAGAAGTGTTTTTGCAAAATTATCGGTTTTGCATAAGTCAAAAAATGCTGTAAGCGTAGTTTTTACTGGATTGTTAACAATATTTGTTAAGTGATTGGCGTCATTTGGGTTGAAATAGACTCGCTGGCCATTTTCCAAATGCACAGTGAGATGAAAAACTGAAGGAAACCTCTCATGGATGGGTAAAGCAGAATTCTCCATACACCCTCGAGCATTTCATAGAGTTCGACTTCATCCTTTTCATTTTTAAGACCAAATGTTGCTTGATCACTCCCTTTATTGACATATTTACATATGTATTTTATAGATTTTACAGAGTTACAGTACTCCACGTTAATATGAGCACCGAAAGTACGTGAGAGCACAGGGTTATATGGCACTACCCAACGGTTATCAAGGGTCACACCAATGATTTCAACAGTGAAACCACCATCTCCTGGGGCTCTTCGTCGATACTTTGGGTATCCGTCTTCTCCTGTTTGAGTTTCTTGAAGGAGAGGTCAAGGAAACTTCTTAGTGCAGCTACCTTCTTTCATACAGGGTGATCTGTTATTTAAGTTACCGCAAGGCCCGTGTATCATATTGCCTTTTATAATTTCATGAAGGAGAGGATCTTTCGCAGGGTCTGGTATCTCTGCACAAATAATGCTATCTAATTTATCTGGAGAAATACGTTGCTGTAGCCACAGCAAAATGTGTATATGAGGCAAACCACGCTTTTGCCATTCAACAGAATATATAAAGCAACGCACGTCTTCAAACAAATTCCCCTCTGTTAGCAATGTCATTAATGCCTTAACTTTTAAGTGAAATACCCAGCAATGATATCATGATGATCATGAGGCTTTTGTCCAGATAGTAATGCATTTTTAATATCATTCCATCGAGGATTACATGTAAATGTAATGAATAAATCAGGACAACCATAATAGCGGACGTACGTCATGGCGTCTAGAGTCTTTTCATGCATATATCGCGGTGACCCAGTGAAAGATGACTGAAGCACTACCATCTGACCAAGCTGAGCGACATCGGTATCTTGTATTCCCATTGCAGAAACGGTTTTTCGAAGAGGTAACTTTGTTTTCGGCTCAATGTGGGAGATGTCAATGGAGTAACCATCCTCACCTCGACAGAAAAGTATCGGGTATTGTAATGCATTGTACGAACGGTGAACTTCACTAATATGTTGTAATTTGTTGTCATGACTTTGTAATACAATATCTCGTTTTTCAAACTGCTGTCCAACTATGACCAGAGCTACTTCGCTTGCTGTCGGTGCATTAAAACGTCCTCTATGAGCATTGGCTGGTTTCCTATCAGCGTGAATTACAACTTCTAAGTTTTTACAATTGTGAGGTACTTTTTCAAGAGCAGTTTTTAAATTTTTTAACTATGGGTTATAGTAGTGCAACATAGCCTGTAATTGTTTTATCAGACTTTTTTACATCAGGAAAGATGCTGCATCTTAAACTTGCCTCTCTCTCATACTCTCCAACAAAATAAATTTGTAAGAATTGAGGGGTTTTTTGAGGTAAAGGTTGCAGACTACCAATTAAGTGATACACCTGACCCTGCACTTTGAAAGTAAGCATAAATCCGTCTTCTATAACTTGTTTCGCTCCAAAAGACGTCATTTGGAAGCAAGCATTATACTTCCTAATACGGTCCATAAAATGAATGTGCTCAAAATGCAGGCCCATGAGCAAACTATTGAGTGGCTCAGGTAGAGGCAAAAAAGCTGGAAGCTGCACTTTACCGGCGCTACAGCACATACCAGGTGCTTCCTCTTTAAACTTGAGGGCATTACAGTGTATGCATTTATGACTCATAGTGCCCAGGGATACTAATTTATCGGTTTCATAAGCTATCTTTGGGTCATATTTCATCCCGGAAAAAGTTTTAATCTTCCATGGAAGCAATTGCCTTTCCGTTTGTTTCCTTGATTTTTATGCTCATATCTATGAACGACTGCTCTATGAACCTCAGGGTTATTTTGCTGGTAATGAACTGCTGATACTCTATGAACTTCTGGATGATTTTGCTGGTAATGGGCTGCTGCTACTTTATGAACCTCGGGATTACTTTTTTTGTATTTAGCTGCTGCTGTTCTGTTAACTTCTGGATTTTTTTGTTGGTATCTAGCTGCTGCTGTTCTGTTAACTTCTGGATTTTTTGTTGGTATTTAGCTGCTGCTGCTGCTCTGTGAACTTCTGGATTCTTTTGTTGGTATTTAGTAGCAGCTTGTAAGAGCTTTTTCTTCCTAATTGTGTTCGTAAATCTAGCACGAGGTTTTTTAGTACGTTTCTCAAAGGTATTCTATCAGAGTTAACTGAATTAAAAATGGATGTTGACAATTCATCTTCATAAGGCAAATAAACATCAAAATGTCCATGAGACAGGTCTTGCATAGAACTAAAATGCAGTCGCTTCACGGGGTTTCCTTCTACACCAAATTTTTCATACAGCTCGCCATTGTAGTAAACTTCGAAAGTTAATGGAAATATTTGTCCCGCTGCTACTAACTCGCATAAACCTCCATAAGTATTAAATCGCGACATATCGTCAAAGTATTCGACAGAACTGCTATAATTATTTCCATGACTATCATGTGACATTATCGAAAAATCATCCCAGTGACTCATCACGTAACCCACTATTTCTGCACGTACTTCTCTGGCCATCAGTTGAGTGTCATACAAAGCAAAGGATATTGCTCTAAAGAGGCAAGCTTTATCGCTTATAATTGGAATGATGGTGTGGGGTGTCATAACACCATTTATATTTATTATTTCAACAACCATAGTTATTATGTAATTTATAACAATCTAAATGTATAAAATTATTGCATTAAACATACCCCTTATTACTGAGAATCTTCTAATTCAATCAAACGTTTTCAATCTGACCAATTTTCTAGAACGTTTGCAATCTTTCTATAATCGAACAAATATGTAGTAACAAATTCGAATTTAAAACGGTTCGAACATCTGGTTAAAAATCGTAATACGTAAATATTGTACATTTGGAAATTAAGTTATTACCACCAGAAATAAACAATCACATCTAAAATAGTACAGTAGAAGCCATTCGTCCAGTTAAGCCTTAATCCTCCCCCCTCGCCCCGCAAGGGAATTTCAAAAAATCTCTTCTTAGTGTGCATTGCCATGGCATACCCTACCATAACGCAGATAAAAACAAAAAATTGCATCCAAAATAGTTCAGTAGAAGCCGTTCTTCCGGTTAAGCCTTAATCCTCTCCTTCTCCCCCCCCCACGGAGGAATTTCGAAAAATCCCTTCTTAGTGTGCGTTTCCATGACGTACCCTAACTGTCTACCAAATTTCACCTCTTTAGGTTAAGTGGTCTGCTCTGGGCGATGATGAATCAGTGAGTGAATGAGTGAGTCAGTCAGTCAGTCAGTCAGTCAGTCAGGACAAGCAATTTTATTTAATATATATGTATTGAGTTTGGCAAATTAACCATTTGGCATGGTGCAGCTTGGCCTTTGTGGCCCTTGCACCAACCAACCAAACCACAAGCAAGTCATCATCAGGCTGTTGAATGTCCTTCATTGCCCGAGCATTCATTAGTGAGATTTCAAACTGCTCATAGGCAATGGTCACCAACTATAGTGGAAAAGTGACTTCCAAAACGTTGTTCCTACATATTCAACATTAACTGCTATTTGCTACATTTACCTCAACGTTACAGCAAGTCTATCACCTCTCCATCTCGTATTTTGTCTACTTATCTTCAGTCCAAGTTTATTTAATAGTTTGTCAAATTTTTCAGGAAATATCTTCAGGAAACTATAACAAAATAATAAATTTAACACAAGCAATCTATAACAAAATAATAAATTTAACACAAGCAATCATATATAATTTAAGTCAAAAGTCAAAACAAACTAATCTTACTCGAAGTAGTATTCTTTGTCGAAAGATCTTAGATGAGGAATAAGTGTATTTTGAACACCAGTTCTCTCTCGATCTAAGAAAATGTCTCTTATACAAAATCTCCGGTCAAATCTTTTGTCGACGTCTTCTAGAGACATAAAGTGATGTATACAAAATAAAATTCATAAACATGAGGAGAGCAGCAGAATTGGAATCACCCACCATCTTGAATATTTTGTGTATGCGCCAAAATGTAGAGAGATTGGTGTTTGCCGCTTGTGTGGTCGTGCTGCCGCATTGCGAAGATGCGTTTGCGACACTGCTTTTCCTTGCCGCGCCACGTGTGCATCCGGCTTAAAAGCAGTCCATTTATCACAAATACTAAGTTTAATGTAAAATGTATTTAACTCACAAATGGGCCATGCTGACAGTGTAAATAGAATGTGTTGTCATCACTTGTTTGCGAAGTCATGTGATTTGCCAAAAATGAAGTTGCATGACATCGTCTGAGACATATCCGAACCTCTATCTCTATCTCTATCTCTTTCAATATAGTAATCTGTGTAGAATTTAATAAAATTTCACATTTTAAAAACCAATATTTTTCTCAAAAAGTTTGTCAATGGTGTATTTGTATTCAATTAAATTTATTTACAATTTGTATATCCACATTGTGACCCCAAATTGGGTTGCGACCCATAGATTGAATACCACTGAGTTAATGAATCGTTCGTCAATAATATCGCCCAATGAGCATTAAGGATCACGTGTTGAATCATTGAAAGGACTTCTGTGTCAACCACCACGTGTAGCCAAATTGTGGAATTTGTGTATATATTCTGCATATATTTTGTACTAGCTTACCCGTTGCACATTGCTGCAATCTCAGAAGAAAGGAAATTCAAGCAAACTCATTATGATAAAGTTCAATTTACATTTTATCATTTTTATTGAAACTTATTATTACATTATTATTCTTTAAAAATTAAGATGTAGTTGCTTCCAAAAATTCCTGGGCGATCATCATATTTCTTTTAAATGTTCCTTAGTAAAAACTTCAGACGACCCGACCTTCCTTTTTAGGCTACGTGGCCATCCTGGAAAAAGTTCCTTAAAACATAGAAACAACCAATTAAAAAGTAATAATTTTTTAAAATTGGATTTGATGATGTTATGACATCTTGCTTCATCCTTCTCTGTTCGGGAGTTCCTTTATATCTACTGGAAATTTGTGCTGTTTAATGTAGATTATCTTCTATCCTCCCTCTGGCGACGAATTATTATTAAATTTTAAGTTTTAAATTTTCCTTGGATGATAAAATTTTTCTTTAAAAATTAAGACGTAGTCGTTTCCAAAAATTCCTGGGCGATCATCATATTTCTTTTAAATGTTCCTTAGTAAAAACTTCAGATGACCCGACCTTTCTTTTTAGGCAACATGGCTGTCCTGGAAAAAGTTCCTTAAAACATAGAAACAACCAATTAAAAAGTAAGTTATTGCTTTTTAATAACTTAGTAATTTAAAACTTAAAAAAAAAAAAAAAAATACATTATTATTATTAATTTTCATCGGGAAAACATTTGAAAGTGTTGTTTCAATTCTATTTATTTATTGGAGTGCTTGTGGATACGTGATATTTTTTTGTTTTTCCGTCTGGTGTGTACACGAATAAATCAGAAGGTTTTCTGACTTGTGAGCTGGCCACATACAGTTGTACATGTGAGAAGCACGGATTCTTTGAATTTAGCCCACATACTTGCAGAGATTGTCAGAAGTGCGATATTCCCCATTTATATATATATTTTTTAATCCTTTATAATTTTGATTATTTAATTGCTCCTTCCTCTCTTCCTTGGCAGGTTGTGAAATTTCTGATAGTTGGATAATAAACTGTTTTATTGTAATTTGTCTTTTTAAATTATTTTGAGTCGATATTAAAATTTGGAAAAGGGGGATCCCTAGATCGATAAAATAGGCGAATTTCCTTCTACGACTTCGGCTGTTGTTCGGGATACAGTTAAGGTTTTAACAAAGTTCGAGCGAATACATAATTAGCAAAAAAAAAGTTGAAATAAAGTGATTAAACAAAAATTATTACAAATATCGTAAGTAACAAATGCATATATAGAGATATTTTTTGGAGGGGGGAAATGGTCTTTGCAATTTGAAATCGATCAAACACACAATAAAATGCTCGTATACAAGTGCACCATCTATCATAGGATAAATGTACTATGCCAGAAACCTTTGATGGAGTGTATTAAAAATAAAACTTCCCAAAACTTCATGGCAATCGTACTATGCCAGTGTAGTGATCTGTCACTTAAATTAATCTGTTTTTGTTTTTTTTTTTTTTTGTAATTTTTTGTGCCTGTTCCATTTGTGCTCGAGCATCACATTTTTGTAAAACCCACGGGACTTGATGATTGGTTGTGATTCATGGCGTCAAACNTTTTTCGGCTTTTACGGTCGCATCTTCGTTTTCGTCCAAATGGACGACACCGATTTCACTCCGGGACCTCAGGAGGGCAATTACCCTTCGAGGATTCCCAGTTCACCATCAGGCAGCATGGCCGACAACAACGTGTGGGAAACTTGGGACACGGAAGAAGATATGATGGAAGAAGCAAGCTACTGCCTCGGCAGAATCATTGAGCTGTGCCCCCAGTCCAGAAACAGCACTGTACGTGTCCATGAGAGAGCTGAAGTTAGGGTTCGGGCGGCAAAATTATTTGCTGCTGTGAACCAAATGTATGGCATGCTAAAAGAGCTACGAAGTCAAAAAAGTGTTTCTACGCCCATCAGCGATAAACCCCAGCGAACTTACGCTGAAGTCATCACTGCAAGTACAAAACCAAGCACCACTACAAAATCAATCACCAAAACACTTTCAACTAAACTTCAAAACGAAGGATCAGGAGGAAACCACGCCGTTCTAATATATCCAAATACGGATAATGACGAAGATAACATTAGAACAGAGGAAATAACCAAAACAATAATGAAGGAAATAAAACCGCAAGAACTTGGTGTCAGTGTTAGAGGCATCAGGAATATTAGCAAGAGTGGAGTCTGCATACGAGTAAATAACAATACTGACGGGGAAACTTTGTGCAAAGCAATCAACAACTTAGATAGCATAAAAAGTAAAATAAAGTGCCACGTTGCCGAAGGACGCAGACCAAGAGTAATTATGCTAAACGTGCCCAACTCGGTAGAGGAAGAGGACCTTTTGCGGACAATGCACAAACAAAATAACATATGGCAGAATGCCAACTTGGAAGAGTTTAAAAATAACTGTAGAATCAGTACAGTACTAACAAGGGGTAGAATTAAAGAAAATTGTCGGCATGTCATCCTATCCGTCACCCCCTCAATCAGAAATACAATCATAAGTAACAGACATATCTCCCTATCCTGGACCAACGTCAAAGTGGATGATTATATCCCGGTTACCAGGTGTTTCCGCTGTTGCGGATTTAATCATTTAGCCAAGGATTGTACCGAGGAAGAGACACGTTGCAGTCAATGCACCAAGTCGCATAAGTTCGAAGAATGCACCAAACGCCATAAAACCCCCTGTTGCATCAATTGCGACAGATATAATAGAGACCAGCCGCCAAATAAGAAAGTCCCCACTAACCATAACGCATTTAACCAACAATGTACGATGCTACAGAGAATAAAATCCCAACGTATAAAACAAACCGACTATGGCGTGTAGCACCTCAAACATAAATACGCAGCCCAACATTTCTACCTCTCAGTGCAACAACACTCAGGGCCACGGGGCCACTACGAATACCAACTTCAAGTTAAATATACTCACAATCAACACTCAGAAGTCCAAAGCAGCCGCCTCATTCGTGTTAAAGATGGCGGACGATCACCAAGCCGATTTGGTCCTTGTCCAGGAACCATACCTGGTTAAAAACGC